AGATGCTTGGATTTATTGAAAGGAAGAGATCGTAAATTAATGATCGTTGCATTAAAATGAGTCAACATTTTCGTGAATTGAACAAAAGAAGATTCGCTCGCATTTATCGTTTCTTTGCGATGAAAATTGTATAAAATTTGAAGCATTTTAGGCATTGTACATATCTCATTCCATATGTGGGTCTATTTATCGTAATGCATAACTTTCGATCGAAAAGATTGGTCAGTTATAAAACGTTATCGTTCAGAAACAACTTAAAATAAATTCAATTTTTTTATTATTTCGAATATCGACTTTATACTCATCAAATATCTTTAAATGGCTTCTGAAAATAGCGTATCGTGTGAAGCATTTCGGGCAATTTGAGTGTTTTGAAAAAAAAAGAGTACCTCAACTTGACACCAGAATAAAATCTGTATACTCAAAATCAAATAGTGTAAATGAATGAATACCTAAGCCTTGTCTTTTGTTTCCACTTGCTGATTATGATAATTTATCATCATCAAATCTGAAGATTAGCGACTAGTTGCTACTAAGACTTCACAAATCTTACTAAGGCTTCTGGACGTTATTATATAGCGATTATCGTTCTACAAAGACGGAAATTGATGATGAGTAATGGTCGTACAAAATCTCTGCTGTACCAAGCAAGTAACGGTGGAATAAATCATATAATGTGCCCTGATCTAGATCATTTAATTCGAATTCAGACGTCTATTGGAACTAAATTGCGAGATGATGGTCTATCCAGTTTGCGGTACCTTTGTTGGTTCCTGGTGCAGAAGCGCTGATACCCCGAAGCAACGCCCACTTGCTGTTGATTTATGCGACAGTAGAAGAACAAATTATACTACAATACCAGCGGCACTGCTCGTTTTCGGTCGGGTTGTTTGAAGCTGGAGCGTTCTTTCTCCAATTATCTTCTTTGCTTCGCTGCGCCAGCAATGTATTCATCTTAATACCGAGAGATAAGTGTGAAGTTATCAGTAACAGAATAGCTAAATCATAGTTGCCCGTAATAGGCAATGTCATTAGAAGTCCCTCAATTAAAGCGCACTAAGCAAAATTAAATACAGTTAAATTAGCGGCGATTCAAACGATAGATATCTCGGGAAGCATACAAAGCCGTTGCCCATGCCCTGACCTTCCTGTCTTCGCAACGTAAAGTAAAGTTAACGCTTCGTAAAGTGCGAACGCAGAAATAATGGCCGCAGTTTCTTTATCTGATACTTTTAATCAATGGGTAACAGTACCATTAACCTTCTTTAGCATATTATTGGAGCTTAGGTCAGTACAGTTAGGTCTTGATTAGCGGCGAAATGACCAACACTATTGGCCATTGGGACTAGTCAGTACAACGACAGCTGAAGATTTTGAAGAACATGTAAGTTATGTAAGTTAGTTTTACGTTCAAATGAAACCACCATTGACACAAAAAAGTATCATGAAAAAACTATGCTTTGTTAAAAAAAGACAGTTGGTGAGAGTTGGTAGAAAATGAAACAGTTCAGGTGTTTTATCACGTTGAGCATTCTAAAAACATTTGCAAACTTCCAATTATCTTGAAGAACATGACTTTTTGTTACAATATCCTGGATGATTTAAAAAATTGCCTGCTAAAATGGAGATATTTGCAAAAAAAATGTTTAAATAGGGCAACTCGCAATGCCACCTGGAAGAAAGTTATAAGGAATATCTTGAAAACATTCGATAATTACGCAAGTAGTGTTGTAACTATCATAAGGCTGTTAAAGGCGGCCTTAAAAAATACTCAAACAGAATAGTTTCACAGAAAAGTCAGTGTTGATTTAAAAAAGCGATTTTGGCGTTAAAGGTTTAAAAATGTTTAATGCAAACTTCTGGAGTTTAATTTATTTAAACTATCCTTKCTCTCTTAGCAATAAAACGGTTTGGAGCAAGTGGCAAAAATTATTAAATTTATGAAATGACCAACAATTATAACCTAAAGTACAGGGAGATTCAAAATTGACGTCATTCCTTTTAAGGGGTAAATAGGGGCTCACTTGGAGAGTATAACGGTTGAAAATCGAATTTCAACTTTGTTATTAAGCATTATTTTGAAATTGTCTCATGTTTAATTGGTAGCGTAGTGGAAGACTTAAGCATTCGAAAAGAAAAATCACTATTTATTTTATTATTCTTATTTATTTATATAATTGTATTTGCTTGAAATTGCAACATTAAAAAAAATTATTTAAAAAAAAAGTTTTCTTCACTATTTTTTTATAAAAATTGAAAGCGGCATTGATGTTTTTTGTTATTAACAGATAGTTACAGATGGCTTTTGTCAATAATAACAATATTTTGTCACACTGTGACTTACTTAGTTCTGGGTAAATTTTACAGTAACTTAGCAGAAGCTGTAAGAACTAGCGCCAACAAAAGGCTAGGCACTAGAACATTGGCTCCAGAAAGATATTGGACCACAATAGGTGTTCGGATTCCATGCTCAGAGCAAGGGACGTTGGACGCTACGTTTAGGATATTTGATTTTCTATATCTTTAAAGAACTCGAAACGCGTAATTAAAAAGTCGACTAGGATATGGAAATTTAGCTTTAACTAAACACCCAAGAATTTGAAATAATGGTAGACAAACAATTAGTGAAACACATTGAAAAGATCGTTTTACATATTTAAACCAAAGCCTCATCTGCCTGGTCCATCATTTCCATATGTTTTTTTTATAATAGATCGATAGTTTTTATGAAAATTAAACTTTAAATCTTGTCTGCCCTTAGCCAGCAAAGCGAATTCGCTTGTACCAGTATATCTTGTAAATGTATTGATTTAAACATATTTATAAAAATCGTTTACAGGCAAAGGTAACATGAAATTACGCACTTATATATTTTCTAGGACTTGACTTTTTCAACAATCCGCATTGAATTGCAAAGTATTACAATTCCGCCCACATCTGAATCAATATTATTACTTTTTACAGTGATTGTAACAAATATTATCACCCGGATTAATATAAGACTGTTTTAGAATGTAACAAAAGCGATTGATTCTGTGCTCAGTCTTCCCATAATGAATTCGTTGGATATTTGCATTGAAATAGATAATAATTCCTGCCTCATTTCTCTTCATGCTCAGTTGCTGCCATGCCCCAGGGTTCCATAGGAGACCACACGGGGGTCCACGTAGACGTGAAAAGAAAACAGGGATTTACAAGTTGTAAGGGAGGTCGAGTCGAAAATTTGCTGGTTTTCATAATGAACAAAAAATTTAGCTTGGATTTAGCTATTAACGTAGGCAGGTAGCATCATTCACTAGGTAGGTACTCAAAAATATGCGATACTCTGTTCAAACACAGAATTGAATAGAACAATAGTTAATGGTACAAATGTACACCACATGTCGAGACTTGCAAAGTGCAGCCCGTGCGCCCGGGATGCTTGTTTAGACCTGCAAAGGGATGAAATGCGACTTGCGCTGTGCTTGCAATCTACATCAGTACAAATACGAATGCCAAAAACAAAACGTTACTCGTTTGTTTCTGGGATTTTGAGCTTAAAAGTTTGACTGTGAGTGAATCGACGTCAGTGTTTACAGTGCCGGAAAAAGTAAGTATCTGCCTATTTGTTATCCATATTTTTATTGCATACTGTAATTCATTAATCATATTATATTTGTTTTACTATTTGAGTGTAGCTGTAATGGGTAGTTATATAGGAAAAATTGAATACTAAAGATTATCCAAAACTTCTATAAAAGAACAAAAGGCCAAGAAAGATTAAACTTTAGGCACCTAGGTACTTTTTTGTTTAAACATATTTATTTACGCGACGACGATTCATTAAAAGAGCGGTGTTTCTATGGGCATTTTGTTTTTTTTTTCAATAATTCTATTCTGTTGCGTTATAATAGTTTATAACATTTTTTTACAGGTCAGAACTGATACGAAATATGGCTGCATTTAAGAAGAAATGTCAACAGTACAGTGTTGATTATTTGAAATTTGATTTGCTTCCATCAACGTATTACAAGAGGAGCTACTTGAGCCCTAAAAATATTCTGGGCTATGGGAAATTGTGAGAAAATTTTTGATAGCGTTTCCCTCGTCCTATCTTGTCGAAAGAAGTTTTAGTGCCGTTACCAACCTGTTAACAAGAAAAGGAGCAGATTGAACATCAGAGAACGAGGAGATTTGAGATTACAAAACTGAAGCCAAATAATGATAATTTACTGTCAATTCAGCAAGTACATCCGTCTCATTAAAAGTATGAGTATGAGAAAATATTGTTGATTTACATTTCAGAGTTCATTCTTGACTGTTTGTAATAATAAATGTTTACAATTTTGTCACTTATAGTTTCAAAAAGTAACATTTTCTTGAAAATGGTTAATTATTTGAGCTATTAGCCAGCAATTTTCAATGGTAGGTATAAAGTTCCGTCAATCCTGCCGGGGAACTTTAAGCGGGAATATTTGAATGTAGAACAAGTGAATCTTGTATGGCAACACTTAGAAAAAACATAATTTTTTTACTTAGCTATACTGAAAAAAAATTAGCGCAATAACTAATTTTTGAAGAAAAAATAGAACGACCATGCAGACTAGCTGTAGTAGTAGGTTTAAAAAACGTCATCAGCACTTTAAGAAGCTTGGAGCACTTTAAGAATAAGAAAAAGTGATGAAAGTCAGGTTTTCTTGGAGGACTATTGAGAGGCAGTATCGACATTTTCAGATTAAAAAACATCTTCAAATGAAATACGTTTATACCATATACACCAGATATAAGCAAATGATGGGTGTTCTGCGAACATGCAAAACTTGAACAATCGCAACAAAACTACAAAACTTCCTGTGTCCGCTTATAATGACTTTCTGTGGGATTTCACCAGTGGGTATATATGTATATAAACGGGCATCCGAAATAAGTAAATCACAAATAGGCAAAGAACAACAGAAGCCGCCATTAGTGCATCCGGTCAAAGCCGAGCAATTACCTGAAAAAATAAAGCCCCGGTTAAGGATGGAATGGTTACGGCCAGTGATGTTCACGGAGCATAGTGCACGGTTCCGGTCGGAGGACGTTCATTTCCGGTCGAGGATGACCGACGACCGGTCGCGTGTCTTGACTTTCAACTGTCACGCTATGTAGCAACAAAAATAGTACATCATTTGGGTAATATCAGCTTTCCAAGCTATTCTAAAGTAATAAATTATGAAGGGTGAACTCATATCACTCAGTTTTTAACTAGCTTTATCTTACGATTTATTACAAAAAAATGAAAGAAGCGCAAACTATTTTTGCACGTACGTGCCGAAGAATTGTACTCAAAGTTGCGTTCATCCAAACCGCGATATTTATTTACTTTCTATTCAATTTTTTTACGTTATGAACTAACCTCAAGCGGACAACCTGAACAAACGCACAGCGAATATGGACACTTGAGGCTTGGCTTCAAAATTCTGAACCCTTGAGTGTTTATGTAAAGACATCACATTTCCAATAAATTCATCGAAGATTCAAAAGGCATTTGGGCACAAATTTAAGAATATGTTGCAACCGTCGATTATGACGCAAAGGGAAAGTAACCATGTCTTTAGGATTTCGCCCAAAACAGGAAGTTTTCATTTTCAAACTGAATCCGTTACTTGCGAAGTGACTTAATTCGAAAATGGTAATTTCCTTAGAAGGAAAATAAAAGGGAATAACAGCTTTATACGCCTAGAATTGGATGCAAAATCTATATACAGGATGGTGCAACCAAGACCGGAAAAGATTACGACTGACTCCAGTGTAATTTTGAAATCAATTTCCATGTGATATTTGCATAAATAGTAGCTATCTTTTAAAATTATTTTCGTTCACTAGACGTTCCCGAAAAATCCGGGAAAATCAAACTTATGTTATTTTAAGGAACACATCAATGCGTCTCAATTGGTTCTCTTACAAGCTAAGATAGTTTTTATATAAGGTTTATTAGGAATTCGGAAACAGTTTACAAGAAAATTCTAAATTGTTAATCCTTAGAATCATAACTTTCTGAGTAAATCACAAAGACAGACAGTAAAAGGCAAATGAAGACAATGAAATTTACAGTATTACAGCCGAAAAATATGTCTAACGAAAATTTTTTACAGGAGGCTTCAACACAGTCCAGCCTCAATATGCACACACATTTCAAATCTATGCCAAAAAGGAATTTATACCTTTTGTAAAGTTTGCCCCGAAAAGTTTCGAAAAATTTGCTTTATTCATGTTTTCCTTGACTTACAAGGCCCCAAGAAAAAAGTCAATTGGTGTCATATCAGGTAATCTAGGTGGCTATTCTATTGCACCACCTCGTCCAACCCAACCATTTATGTTCCAGTCGCATTAATATTACATCCTTTTGCCACCGATAACTCAGAAACGTGCGATCCAAGGTATTGACTTTTTATAGTAAGAGACAATTTAACATTTTCTGAAAGCTTGTTGAAAGGCCTTTAAGAGAACTAACAAGTGGGCCGTCCATTCAAAAAAATTATGAGGGTTATATTTATTAGAAACTCGAGCTCCCTGTATATTGGTGCATGTTTAAAAGCAGTCACGCTTTGTTCCTATGCTCCCAGATAAAAAAAATTTCGATTTTTTTTCAGACTTGATACAATATATCTACAGGGTGATTCAAAATTGGCGTCATTCCCTTTAAGGGGTAATAGGGCCTCACTTATAGAGTACGAGAAAAATATAGAAATTGTTTTTTGATAATTTCTAGACTATAATTATACCATTGAATTACTGAACACTGGTACAAACTGAGCAGGAGTTAATTATCCAAATACGAGAAGCTGCTCGCTAACAGTGGATACTGAGGAGATTACAGAGCACTAATTTGTTTCGACTTCATGACTCAAATGTTTTTTTATTTGTAAACATAAATTCGAGGTTATGAGGATATTTCGACGAACATGACAGTTGACATTTCAAAGTACGTTCCACTGTTAACGAATCCTGTTGAATTTACCGTTTATCCTTGTCTATTTTATTGTCACTCTGTATAATTCCATGGTTACCGGAGTTTTTAATAATTAAGAAGCGACAGGTATTTCCGTAATGTAAATTAGGCAGATTGCCTTAAAAAACATTGTCGCCGTCTTTTTGATATAATTTTTTGCAAATTTCTCAGTATTTAATAATAATTAATTTCTTTTACTATTTTTGCTGTACTCCTAAAACATCGCCAGACAACACCTCCAGAGGAATGACGCCAATTTTTAATCACCCTGTATATTTGGTGATCTATTAATCGCAGACGTTAGTTTGATTGCCGCGGGGTTATGAAACCACCCTGTGTAACAAAAATCATTTTAATGGATGGACATTATTGTGTCATTATAACATAAAAATAATTTCAACATTATATTTCAGTTAACGGTAATCTTCCACCTCTTCTTGGTTGCACCACCCTGTATGAGAACCAACTTGGATTTACTTTGTCAACTTTATATATAAGCGTGAATTAATTCACATTTTTGTTTTTTATTTGTAATTGAACATTAATTAAATAAATTTGTTATCTACGCTATGTCGACATGAAAAAGCTTATAAACGTAAATAGGCAAAACGTCGACAAGTGTAGATAACGAGGTTTTTTTAAATTAATGATCGCAATCCCAAAAACTATACCCAGTTACGCCGCAAAATATCTTATAAGATTCTGATGTTTGCATAATCATATGCAACTTCCACTTTGGCAATACTCGCTTCCGATGATGTGTTTGATTCAATGTTTGTTGTTTGCTTTGGAAACTTCTTGTCAAGTTTTCCGGTTAAATCCGAGCGCGTTTCAACTTGAGCTTATCTATCATCTAGATCTACTTGCGCCATTAATTATACCCCATTTAGTAGTGGAATAAAGCTTCTAATTAAAAATCAGAGAAAACAATCGCGCATCTACCCGTTAATTATCCAGTGGCTCGTGCGCCGACCTTTCCACCAATTAAGCAAGGAGTCTAATTGCCGAGTTGCTGTTCGGTGGCCTGAGAAATGTTGGCACTGTCGATTTGGGTGAAATGTTTGCAAAATAATGGCAATTTTTTTCACTCATCGATTTTTAGACCAGATATTTTGCTATGTTTGAACGCTTCAAGAGCAAGTTTGAGTCATTTTTTCATTACTGTTATATAATAATATTTTTATTAAATGGTGGGCAATGCCTTTTATGATCGAGTGGAATCTTTGTGTTCATTTCAAAGCAGTATTCTTTTATTCCGACTGCAATTTTAAAACATCAGCCGGAAAATTGGTAGAAAAATCGATTTTGACAAGTTTGGAAAAACTTTTCACTGCAAAAAGCTGTCAAACTTTTCCCACTTAAAGGCCCAATAAAACTTTAAAAAAATTGCAATTCTAAAACATTTGAAAAATTTCCTAGTGGGAATGTACCTTGTTCACGATCTAGAGAAAACATCATAAACTATCTATTGTAAAAAGGTTACTGTGAGATCTTGCCTTTATAATATTTAAAATGTTTCTTCAACAAAGGTACTTCCTGTAAACATACCACAACGCTCTAGAGAGGACAGGATTGTGAGCACCTTTAGTTGATAGATTTTGGATATAAAACTTTGATAATTTTGGCTTTATTGAAGGTTGCAAAAAATAAAATATAAACTAAAACATTTGTATCTACAAATGATATATAATGTCTATGATTTGGCACTTTTTCAAATGTCATAATGATGTTTTGCGATGTAGTGCGGCAATAAATATATCGATTATTGTCAAAGTTGTGTCTTAAAATTGCACATTTTAAAATAAGTCAAGCGATGATCTGCCATCTGATATTGAGAACAAAGCTGTTGTTTCGTATTTTGTGCCAGATAAATCACGGAAGAACTAAATACCAAGAAGCTTTGATCAATACCAAAAATGGTGCAGTGAACAAAAGATACACGAGTTATGTGGTCAGTTCCCACGAATTCCGCTACATCAGCAGCACTTATGTGACTAGTTCCCATAGATTCCGCTGGATCAGCAGAATAGGCATACCGCCAATGTTAAGGTCATAA